GATTTGTTCTTCTTCAAATAAAATTTGACAAAAACACATCTGCAATTACATTCTGCTCTTGGGAACGTGCAGATACAGATGGGAACAGAACTGCATAGAGGCTTCCAAAAGGTTTCCATAGAAGCTTCCTGTTTACCGAAGATATAAATGTAAGTAATACACGGAAGACATTCAGTAGTAGCAGCATCATCATAGTGAAGGTCACAGACGTCTCTGAAGACTACAGGCAAATTGTCATTGAACTCTACAAGCTGGAGGATGGCTATGAAAGAATTCACAGAAAAAAGAACTGAATCTACCACTTTATACTATAGTGTCCATTTTAAAAGCCAATGACATAGTGGCAACCTTGCTGGGAATGGTGATACTACCACAAGCTGTAGAACAAGTGCTTTGAGAGGCACCTCCAAAAGTTATAAATCCAAAAGGAGCACCTAAAGATCTCCGACACGCGGCACTTTGGGATAATTCCACCTATCCCTTTTTTGACCTGTCATTCAATTCAAGGTTGAGGGGGAGCCAAAGTTCAGTAACCAATGGTACAAGGCTGACAGAGATGCAGACAAACATACACACCATGGCCAATTTTTCCAGAAGCCAACATACCTACAAGTATGTTTTCGAATTGTGGGAGGAAACCAGAACACCCGGAGGAAACTCACACAAACATGGGGGGAACATACAAACTCCACAGAGGTAGTAGTCCAGGTCTGCAATTGAACCCAGCCTTGCGAAGCAGCAATGACAACCACTGTGCCCCACACTTCAGGAAACAAAGAGCTGGAAACTGTCATTCAAAGTCGCCTGCATTAATGTGGTTTGTACATCTGTGTTAGAAAGAAAGAAGTCTTTCTGAGGGTCTGAATGTCAATCAAAACAACGTCTTAAGGTCAGATTAAATGAAAGTTGAACGAATTGGGAATGAGAATGGTTTTCCACAAAAAATATGAAACTCGTGTTGAGAAAATGTGAGAAATGCCTTTTGCTTTTGCCTTTACAGGTCCTGGAGCTCTTGTCAAGATAAGGGAAATCATGAACTCCAGTACAAACCAGGATATTTTGACCTGACTCTATCTGCCAGGAAGTTCAAGTTTGGTCAGAAATGGACATTCCAACATGCCAAGGATCTACAGCATACATCCGAATTAACAATGGACTGGTTAGCTGCACACAAAATAAATGTTCACAAATGACCATCTCAATCTCCAGACCTCAACCTAATAGAACATTTGTGATTCAAACTCAAGATGTCAGTTCAATAAAGGAATCCAAAAGGTATAAAGGTGCTATTAAGATTCCTGTATAACATTTTCAGTTATTTTAAGCAAGAAACATTTTTTTCTGATTTTGATGTTTATTGCTCCTACTTCATTGGCTTATAAATATATTTGGGGGGCACTATACATGCAAAGAACCTTGGGATTCTTTGGGATGAGAAGTGCTGTACAAATGGAAACTATTTATATTGCTTAATACATTTTGAATTGCTTCATGGCAATAAATGTAGACTGCAAACATGTTTTACTTAATGTCATACTGTACATACATTATTTACTGTATGTACAATACATTAACCAGTCAAGATTTCTGAGTTTCCCTGTGTTTTTCATCCAAACCATACTTAACTCTGTATATGCTTATTATGACTTGAATGACAATGATCTGAATGTGCACTCTGAATGTGTTCATTTTCATTTTTTTTAAACATGTCAATATTATGATAAAAAGGAACAATACAGAAAGGACATCTCTATGATAGATCAATTCACAAAAAAATGAAAAAAATAACACCCTTGCCTTAATGTAAGACATGGTTTTCAGTAGTCAACAGCTATATAAAAAAACACAGAAGTTCATGCCCAAATGGGTACCCTCATAAATTCCTTGTACCTTTATCTTCAACACCACTTTCCATCTGGCTACTTTCACCCAAACAAACAAATTAAGTGTGTATTAAACCCCCCAAAAAATGTTTTAGAACAAAAAAGCCTTCTGGGACATTATCTACGACAAAGTGAACTCAATTCATTCAGACCTAAATGAGACAGAAATGATTTACAGCCATTCCTATCTGTGCCAGAGCCTAATCTAGCAGTGGATACCCTGAAAGACCCTACATTTTACCTCATGCTCATTCCTCTTGGCATAATTATTCATCATATAAGTTAATGCTTTATCCAATTACCCTAAATGAATTCAGGAGCAGTACCAAGACAAAATAAGAAGTGTTCTAATTAAATACTCAAAACTACTTTTGTAGTAGTAGTTTTATCGTACTTTTCTTAACTCATCAATAGCTATCCATCATAAAGATAAATGTTTTTTGCACATACATAAATCTAGGTACCTTCGTAATGTGAGCATAAATCAATTTTTAAGAAACTATGAGGTGAAAACAAAAGGCAGAAAACAAACAATAGTCAATATAAAGTTTATATAATTTATATAATTATAATTAATAGTTAATACAGTTAAAAGTAATATGAGGGTCCTACCAGAAAATGAGAGCAAAATTATTTTTGTAAGCTATATCTTCTCTAGTAAATAGGGAACAGTTCACCTCAGAGCTCAGAAATCATAAGATAAAAGATTTCATTATTTCTAGAGAAGGTTTAATCTCTTCTATATTCCCATAGAGGTGTTTTAAAATGCATGAATGTGTACACTTTTTGTCTTCTATAAATGACTGCTTAACTCTTGTCCAGTGGTTTTTCACTTAACCTAATTAATAAAATCTGCAAATTCCCACAGAATTATTCTAGCCATCCAAATTCCCAATGCAATACCAAATTTCATCACTAGGAATTTAACCAGCTGAGCTGTAGATACATTAAAGCTAATTAGCAAGAAAGTATTTTACCATCAGAAAACAGCCTTGTTCTGTAATAAACACTAAATATTCCCTGTTGATTTAGATCTGAAAGACGAAAGAAAACTGTCTCGGCTACAGTCTTTGAAATACACTGCAGTGCCAAACTGCTGTTGTATGCAAAGCTCTGAACAGTAAATTGAGGTTAAATGCATAAGGAATCACTGATCCACAGGCTTTTTGAATTCTCTAGAGGAAACGCTATTTAGAATGATTTAGTCCCAATTAAGTGCACAACTTTTTTTTCATCCCAAGACAGACACCACAGCATATTTAAGCACTGGAACAAAAAAAACTAAGACATTTCTGCTGTTCCTTTTGTTAGCACCACTAATCACTGCCGGGAAGGAGTAAATGAAACTACTCAAGTTTTTTTTTGTTGAACCAGTAAGACTGTAGGTAAACAACTGTAGGTAAACAGTTCTATTTTTTGTATGTCTATGGAATCTACATAGAATCTTGGCACAAAGATTTCAAGGTTTCACCAACATTCAGTCATTTGTGTCCAAACATTGTCAGAAGTGACAATAAATCATACGCATTACTCTAGGCACTAGGTTTTCTTCAATGCTAGAACTGATTAATTTCAACTAAATTACAGAATTTTAATGATCCTCTGCTAATGTATTCCTATACAAAACAACACAAGATATTCAAGGGAAATACATCTCTAAACCACTACACAAGAGTAGGGAAGGTGAAAAACCAGAATGTTGGTAATACAACAACTTATTGTGCACTGCAACAGTACTTCTTCTGTAGTACACAAGAATTGAAAGTGCTTAATAAAAAAGGTTCAGTGAACCTACAACAGGATTGTAATAGAAATCCCCTCCGGGAAACAAAAAAGCCATTTTTGAGTGGGCTCACCAAAGGAACATCAGGAAAGACAAATGCTGATAACCAGCACAAAAATTTTAATGACTCCTACAACGGCAATGGCAGTGTTTAGCTGCCGTGTTACAGCACTGAATAAGAATTTCATGTCCAAAAGAAACTGCATACCCTCCTTGTAAATCAGAAATATGCTGAATAGACTAATTCTGTTTGTGGGGGGCATTATCATTTCAAAATTTTGCTCATAATTAAATATTGTTAAAAAAAAGTAGTTAATAAAAAATAGGTCTAAATATTCTGAATACAAAATTGTTTTCATGAAGTCTCCCATCGCAGTCCTTCCATCCATTACTGACCTTTAGAAAATCAAGAAGAATTAAGCTAAAGGCTGATTAGCAAATCAGTTGAAATGTTTGCATTTACACCCTTAAGTACAGAATCTTCAGTGGTTACTTAAAGATGTTTTATTATTTCGCTAAGCTCTTTGAGAAGTCACCTTTAAAGGTGCTATATAAAATAAAGTTTATTATATTATTATTTCAGATAGTCCAATTTGTTTGCAATGTCATGATTGCTAAAAAAATCCCTTATAAATCATTTTACAGGTGAAAAAAAACATTACAAATCAGGTAGTTATCCAATACTATAAATTATGGGGATTAATATGTTTAATACTAAAAATACAATTTTAAACAAACAAAAATTAAAACAATTTAAACCACACATTTTAAACCCACTATTTTTTTCCTGTTCCAAATATATTTTATACCTTTACATAAATACATTCTAGGCTACGACACACGCAAATGCAAAAAAAAAAATGTGTTCAAATTTTATCCACAGGTAATATGCCAAACAGAGAGATATCCTACCTTCTAACAAATGATATAGTGTATTTATTACACACTGCTGTAAAGTGTACAACTTTTAAACGTGTAGTACAATAAATCTATGAAAGAAGGGAATTTGTACTGTATCATCTATTGAAGCTATGCGACCAGGAAAGAAAGTGCTTGGTTTAGACGATCGCGAACAAGTGAGTTTGAATGTTGAATGCTTGAAAATTAGTAGAGTGTGAACTGCAGATCTCATTTTACTTAACAGGAAATACACAGAGGTGGATATATGTTTTCCTAATTACTGAACGGTATGTGAAATGTCTCCAAAGCTTTGTCATGCTTTTAAATACAAATACAAATGAATGTAATTTGGACATGTGAAATAGAAAATCCTTCAAGAGCATTTCCACCAAAGTCTACTACTAAATCGTTTACAAAAATGTCTAGTCACTTACGGAAAGTAGTTTCCAGGTTATTGGGCGAACTTGTCTTGGAATCCCAGACCAGCTTAATTTCCTAAGTTCATCTGAAAAAAAAAAGAAAAGGGCAATTAATTACATAATAAAATTGTTCAAAAAACTCACTATTGACATACTGAAACATAGTTGTAAAAAACAGTTTACTACCTTCTCCAATTAAGCTTGGCATTGTGCCCTGCAGCTAGACGGTCTCTAAATAGTATCACTGGTGGTCCTAACCTCTATCATTATAAATGTCATAATAGTTTTGCCTTTCATCTGTATTTTTAAAAGTGAACTAAAATAATCTTCACTTAGAAATGCACTATTACCCTTGATTCTATAAAAATGCTCACTTATATGATACAGTATAAAACATATTTAAATATGTACTAATATTTTCTTTTTTAGAAAGATTAACTAAACTCTAACCTAACCATCCATGCAGGGTGCCGAACCTGTGTATGATATTCAATCTTAAAAACGTATTTTCAATTTTTGCTTATGCTATATTACAGTAAGTCTGAAAAAGCATATATTAAGTACATTTCTGTAGAAAGATAATTTTTTGGTGTTAATATAATAGGATCTCCAGATTCTAAACATCTAACCAGCACAAATATCCCCATGGTTTATAATAACTCACCCCTTATTTAAATTTCCCATAACATATTAACTATATATTAAATCACCATTAAACATGCGTAACTTCCAAATAGATGACATTTTATATTTATCATAAATAAAATATTAAAATAATTAATGTAATTTAGCGAATCCTCTGGCCACCACAGTGTTTTCAGAGGAGAAACACATCAGTGAGAAGGGATATAGGCTAGAAGAAGTCTTCAACGGAGATGAAACAGGCTTGATTTGGAAGAAAATATATCTTTCAGACCTGCATTTCAAAGGCAGACAAGGCAAAATCCAGGTTTTAAGGTGAGCAGAGTAATGCTACATCTGTGCAGCTGGTCACTTGATAAAGCTAGCCTTACAGTTCCAGTCTACAAACTGCAGGGCATCACACAGCAAGAATAAGAACTTCTAGCCCATTTATTGTCAATCAAATTAGAAGCCTTGGGAGAGCATGCAAACCTTTCTGCACTTGTTCCATAAGTGCTCTTTACTCAGAGATGGGTAGGACCAGGTTCCCTCACTAGCGCAAAAACTAGCGCTTGAGATTTGAAATTCGCCTCGCAGCTTCACAGCCTCACAGCTCAGTCCCACAAAAAAAGTATTTTTCACATCGCCGCCCAACTCTATTCCAATTACCTTCACTCATGAATAGTTAAATCTGTGAATGTTAAAACCACAAATGTTTAAACCCTGTGTGCTTAGGAAATTATTAAAGCCTCTTATTTTCATATCACACATTATATAATTTACTCAATTATCCTTCATGGTTTCTTACCTAGCAGACTTTTCATTTCAGGTGGGTCATAACTCTAACCCATATACTGTACCTATTGCACCTTAAAAATGTATAAGCTGGTAGCTTTCTGTCTACCAAAGACTGTGTGCTCCTATCAAAAGGAAAGCTGGTTAGGAAATTGTATTTGGCACCTGGGTTAAGTTTAAATATTCTACAACATCAACAAATTAGAACACTGCTTGTTCAAACTCGGAGCAATGCAAAGTATAGGAATGTTTTATCTTAAAGGAGCCAAATCACACCTAATGCAAACTCTCCCATCTATTACTGACTAGGTTGAAATGGGTAAACAACGAAACTGTAACAAGTGTTATACTGGAAATTCATGGGAAATTATGTTGAATATTTCAAATTACAGTATTTCGTCCATTTTTAACCACTTTGTCCAATACAGGGTCATAGGGGAGTCGGAGCACATCCCAGCAAGCAATGGGAGCTAGGCAGGATACATCCTGGATGGGACACCATGTGCACGGCAAGGCACACACACAGACGCACACGCGCTTACACCAGGGCCAGTTCTACCAGACGCCAATTAACCTATTAGTACGTCTTTGGACTGTGGGAGGAAACAGCAAAAATCCACATGAACAAGGGGAGAACATGCAAACTACACACACACAGCACCACCGGTCCGGAACCGAGCCCAGGACCCCAGAGCTACAACTGTGCTGTCTGCATTACTTGAATTCATTTTTCATAATATTATTTATTACTGTTGAGGAGATAAAATTAGAGAAACAGTTGGTAAGAACTAGTATGAATAAAATCACCTTTGGCAAGCTTGACCCTTACCCATTATTTCCTGTTGGCAATGTTACAAAGAAGCATGTTAGTTTATGCAATTTATGCAACTGAATAACACTTTTGTTAAAAACAAGCAATTTAATTATTTCATATTAGACAGATCGATTAAAAGATTGAAAGATGCATTTATTACCTGGTTACTATGCAGTGTGTGTATAACTGTCCCGACAGACCTAAAGAGGTATTCATCATTATTCTGTAGTCACCCTAGCCATTAAGTGGAAAACTAATGGTTTATTATATTAGGGTTAACTGTGTAGTAATGCTATTCCTATGACAGTATTCACAGATTATTGCTCCCAGCTTTTATATCTAGTAATTAAGCGCCATTGGGGCTCTGTGCAGGTACTGGGGAATATTAACTTGTCAGTACATTAGATCTATTTTATTTTAAATGAAATTCACACCACAGATATCAAGATATTACAATCCGAAGGAGAACATAATGAACCTTTTTTTTCTGTAGCCTAAGAAAACTACAACCACAAAGAGACCAACAACCACAAAGGAATACAGTGCTGACAAATACACCTAGTATTGTATTAAATGCACTGCTCATTCATGATATTTTAAGTGCTTCTTTTATTCAATTGGTTTCCTGTTTTTTTATTTCTGCAGTAATAGCATATTTCTGATACCATTAAAATACTAAAAACATGCACAAGGTGCCTTAAGAATGGTATATTATTTATTACATGTAAACTTTAAATTGCAGCAGTCCTTATGTCACCAGCATGTACTAAGTTTGCTTGAAAAAAATCAACCTGCATGAACTGCAAACAAACTAATCTATAAAAAGAGCTATGTAAAACAGTAAAAGAATGACATACTGAAAGCCACCTTTAATGAACACAGGTTACACTGTGGAACTTTCTGAGGAAAGCACTCAATTCATTAAGCACAAAGCCACGCATGGATGTCTTCACAGTTCACACCTTTGAACTCTCATTTGTGCTGTCAGCTACAAAAATTAGTCAATGAATCTTACACCCTGAGCTTAATTAAACTATCTGTTATATATCCCAATGAGGCATTAATCACACAGTCGGAAAAGTCAGATACAAACTTACATTTTTCCTTCCTATGAGCCAATGACCTTAAGAAAAGACCCTCACCTATTCGATGAGATACTGTGTAAAACATCTGTGTTTCTTCCTACAGGTCATACATTTATTTGACACTACTAGAATGGACGCAGCTGGGTTGCACAATACATCATAATGTTCTTGCTAGAAACTGTATGGAAAAAAATCATTTGTATTCTAAATATAAAGATGACCTCAGATCCAAATGACCATTCCTTTCTACAGCATACGTACTGGTCTGAAAGCTATAATAAATCATTTTGTTGTGCAATGTGAATGACTGAACAGGTCTATCACTATGTTTCAATGCTGTGGTTAGTTATTTTGCTTTCCCTTAATAAGGTCAAACCTACACCTTGAATGATACCTTTGTTTCATTCCTTCACTGTTTGAACTGGAGTTACTTATTGCATCTCATAATGAGAATCCAGGAAGTAAAATTCACATACATTAAAAGCAACACATCTGAGTACTTTTGCGTGAATTTTTAATTTTATCTATTCAAAAATCTAAAAGGTCAAGGGTAAGACCTCAGTGTTTTAAGGTGAGTGAGAGCTAGATTTGAAACTAGTGCTAGAGTTTATGGCAAGTATCAATTTTGGGATGGAGTTAAGCTCTGGGTTTTGGGTCTGGGTTCAGCTTTAGTGTAGGGTTGTTATAGAAACAGAAAGGGCGTGGAAGATTATCAGCTTTCTTCTAGTCATATTCTGGCACCAGTATCCCTTAAATTTGAGAAACCTGCTTTTCTAGTGAATTAAGCTGAATCAATTTGCCACCACTTTACACATCTTTTCCAGTTCTAGTGCTAGAAGAAACATTTCAAATTGAAAAGCAAGCAGAAATCTGACAATAACCGTATTTGATTTTATTTTCACATTCATTGCTTATGGCAATAATCACAGTGCATAGACAAAAAACTCCAGATTTCATGTTCCACAGAACAGATGTTTTTTGACAAATAACATTTTACAAATAGACTTGGAATTTCAAAATGAAAGCTGATGTTAACAAGAACTCAAAAAACATTTTCAAACAATATGAAATGATGAAGGCTGAAGGTGAAAATCTATCAGGCTTGTGCATTTTGTGCAATCATTCACAACTATTATTCTGGGATTTAGTAGAACAGGTCATCTTAAACTATTGAAAGTTAACTCCCTACACTCTTTAGCTAATGCCGATATAAACCATGTTTCTGTCTTAAAATCAGTCTAATCTATAAAACTTGCATAAAATACATATTTAATTTTATAAACAACCACAGTATTTATATACTTCATTAGAATCCCATTCACTTCTTAATTACCAAGACACAATAAAGGTACAATTTATATATAGAAGCACATAGCGTAAAATACTGGTATGTTCTGCCTTGCAAAACTAATCACCACCCTGCAGGGTTTGATTGTCATCTAAGCCTAAATCATGACACTTTTCAATTTTAGAATCTACTTTAAACTGATAAGGCTATAATATGCTGATAACATGTAAATTAGGTTATCTAGCTAATCTCTCTAATATAGATTCTCTATTGCAGTAGTATTCAACCCCAAATCAATTAAGGTGCAAAAGGATAGTTTGAAAGTTTACAGAATATAATGGTTTCTGTCTCTGTCAAAGCAGTTTGCCCTTACTACAGGGCAAATACATCTGTTCAAACTTCCCAAAGAGGGAAGATATTATCGATATCCAATAGATATTAATTTTAAGTCGCAGCTCGGTAGTGATGCAGTTTCCAAAACTA